AACGTTTATAAGTGTCAATTATGTTTCATAAAATTTCATTCAGGTGACTTTAGCCATAAAAAACTGTGATGGCAGGAGCCAGTATCTTGGAATTGATATTGATGCTCTGAAGACGCTTGTTGAGTCTAACCCAAGGCAACACACTCGTGAAATAGCCCTGAAATTGCATGTCTCTCATGAAACAATATGTAAACATCAAACGAATATGGGAAAACTCCATAAAGAAGGTGTTTGGGTACCTCACAAACTCTCTAATGATCATCATTTCCAACATGTGAACATCTCTTCTGGCTTATAATGCACATGAACAATTTTTGGACAGAATTGTCACTGGTGATGAAAAATGGATTCTCTATGTGAATATTAAAAGTCCAAAACAATGACTCAGTCATGGACAAAAACCATTTCCAACCCCAAAACCTGGGCTCCACCCGCAGAAAGTGATGCATTGCATTTGGTAGGACATCAAAGGAGTAATTCATTTCAAACTCCTCAATCCACAGTGAACTATTAATGCAGAGATCTATAGTCAACAACTGGAACATTTAAATCAAGCCTGTCATCAAAAATGTTCTTTACTTGTCAATCAGAAAGGTGTTCTTCTTCTCCACAACAATGCACGTCCACATGTGACACGTTTAATGAAACACAAGATCATGGAGTTGGCTTGGGAAGGTCTCCCCCCACCCACCATATTCTCCAGATATGACACCATCAGATTACCATATTTTTCATTCACTGCAACACCATCTTAATTGGAAAACGTATGCAAATGTGGAAAGTGTTAAAGAGGACATCAACATGTTTTTTGCTTTAAAGCTAAGTGATTTCTTAAATCAGGGCATTAACAACCTCAATGTAAGATGGAAAAGCATCATTGATAAGAATGGAGACTATTTCTTTTAATAAATGTTTTGTTTTTATATAAAAGTTGTTCAGGTTTTTTCAGCTAAAAAAAAGCAACATTAACTTATTGACGACCTAATATATACCTTACTGAATAACTAGTGTATATATATATATATATATATATATATATGTGTGTGTTACCTGAATATAAACTTATAGGCTGGGCAAAAATATACTAGCTGTTAATTACACTAAACTACAAAATTGATTATTGTAAAAAAAAAAGATAATTATAAAACATGACAGGAATACTTATCTTTCACTTATGGAATCATCACAATTACAAACAAGTTTTTAGGTTTTGAATTTATACTGACATTAAACAAACCTTATGGTTAAAGTTTGTTTTGACCATATTTGTATGTCAAAAAACACTAATTTCACATCCATATTTTTGCATATTATATGATGTGCAACAATTTTGTTTTTACATTTATAATGAAGCCTTTGTGTAATTTGGTTCATTACCTTTCACTCCTCTATAAAAGCCATAGTTTAACAAAATATCCAGATGAGTGTGGCAAAATAATGTAAGATTGCTGTTCAATAGGTTAAATATATTAAAAAAATTGAATGTGAAATAAAATTCTTACATTGATGTTTTTTATATAATCTTATGTATTGGATAATTAAAAAAAATTTACACATTTTTTGTTTATTGCTTAATCTATAGAGCTGGTTGAAAAAAAGACCAAAACAAGAGGCAGAAATACTTGAGGGTTTGTTTGATATGGTATTCTCTGATGTATATCAGTACATTGCCACAACACTTACCCCTAAAATGGAACTGCTAGAATGTAACTACATAAAACAGGTTAGTGTTATGTGATGGTATTTGACATATAACTGTTGTTTCATTTAGTAAATATTAGCAATAATAAATATGTACTATATAATTTTATGATCTTAGTATTGGAACATTTTTTACTAATCCATCATTATTTTTATCTTTTTACAAAAAATATAAAAATACATGCTTTTGATGTGCTTTAACATTATCATAGGTTTTTCTGAGTGTTTTGAAATTAAAGATAGCTGTTTAATCTGAAACACCCAGTCAAACTTTACATTAGGAAAAAAACAGAAACTGAAGGACTTGCATTTACAATTAAAAACTTGCTAGCCTTGTATAATTATATACTTTTGCTCTAAAAAGTACAATTTTGAGTCACATGAAGCAATCAGATAAAAAATATATGAAATGACCATTTTCTCTAACTTCATAATGTCTAATATTTTATGTAAACAATTTTATTTATATTAGAATGGATTGATGATTATCTGAAACTTACATTTGATAGAGCTTTTTATTTAAAACAGGCCATGGATCTTCTTGAAGGAATGCTTCCAACAGATGAGACTGGTGGAGTATCACTATCTGGTTTACAGGTAGAGAAAAACTTTGTTTTTGCTCTGATGTGGTCTTTTGGAGCTCTACTTGAGCCACCAGATAGAGAGTTAATGGCACAGTTCTTGAAGAATCATCCTTATAAATTAAAACTCCCACCAGCTGAAGAGACTGAAAAGGGCAACACAATATTTGAGTTCTGTGTAAATCAGAAAGGTATTATGAAATTTTAACAAGTCTTATATTGAAAACAGTTTTCTTTTTACATGTTAGTTCCTATTAATAAACTTGGGAAAATTAATGTAATTTTTTTTGTTCTACAGTTTAATGATTTGAAAATGCATTTTGGATTATTATTACATAATGGTGAATTTTTACTTTCTAGTTATATGATGCATAGAAAATTACAGTAGTAGCATTTTAATTTTTATGTTACTGTTTTTTTTTTGCTTCTTGCTTCTAATTGATTGACAGAAGGTGAGTTACAAGCACAACTTAACATGATAAAAGTTTTTTTTATGTATAAAAAAATTTTCAGTATATTTTGAACTGCTTGAAAGGCACTATTGTTACCTTTAGAAATTTGCATGTATTGTTTTTTTATTGTAAAAAATGTCATAAGGTTATATTGAATAATATTAATTTGTATTGTTGAATTGTATGGAAGATTTAGGCTTTATGTTACAACTATTTCAACATATACAGAAGCTCTTGAAAAATTACACTATACATTTAAAAATGTAAGCGATAGTAAAGGATTCTATCTCTAGGGCTGATTTTTTACAGAGTCTCATATATGAAAGCTTTAAAGAAATCTATGGTATTCAGGCTCACTGAAAATGAACAGAAAAATTAAAAATATCTGCAAGGACACAGTTTCCAGAACTGCAGAGAATAATTTTGAACTTGGACAGTAAAGGACATAAACAAACATAAATGAGCAAATAAAACAAAATCTATATTTACAGTGATATATTTCTGACTAAATTGGTCAACTTTACATTTTCCATTGACTTTAACTGGTTGCTGAGGTAGGGGAGCTTTCTGTTGTTCTGCATTGGACAGGACAAAAAGTTCTGATTTGCTACCCAAAAACTTTAAATTACAGTGTACCGGAATTCAGTACAGCATGCATCACCAACTATTACAAATAACATTTATAAAAGACTTTAAAAACCTAACTCATACCAATTTGTACAATTATCTGTTTCCCCTTGAGATGGGCACTCTCCTCCCCAGGGAAGTTAGATAAAAGGTCAAAGCAATGCATATTTCTAGATTTCTAGTTGTTGCATTCATAGTTTAACCTGAATAAAGGAGTTAGTACATGCTTACAACCTTTTAACATTTGGTTAACAAGAATGATACATTCAGAACATCTGCATGGAAGTTTAGATAAAGTATATAAATATACCTAAATAAATATATATATTCTATACTAGTTAAAGAAGGGTGAATTTCTTTATTGTTTCAGTATTTTAGTAAATAAAACACCTGTTGCTGTATCTTGAAAACTCACATTAAAATAAAATATTGATTTATGATAATTATAGGACTGTTATGGGATAGTATGCACCTATATACTTGTGTTTTCGTTTTGTTAAAATCTAGAGTTTATTATTATTGACAGTTATATATAAAGCTTTATAAAACCAAATCACCTGAACTATAATGAATTTCTAATTATATTTTTATCATCAAAGGTGAATGGGAACACTGGGATCATCAAGTAGAGGAATATTTATATCCTACTGATCATGTTCCTGCTTTCTCATCTATTTTGGTACCCAACGTAGATAATATACAAACAGATTTTCTTATACAAACTATATCAAAGCAAGGAAAGGTAAAAAATTATAAAAGTAAGCATAACATTTTATGAAACACTTTCTTTTTTAATAAAATGTTAAAGTAACTGTTTATGAATTTAAGTTAATTTTTTTTTCCTAAATTTAAAACTTTTTTGTTGACATCTTATACTCTTCAGCATCTGGATCCACTTGTATGAATTTTTTGTGTACACTTAAATGCATCTTAATTAGTTCTTTGAAGTTTGATTGAATCAAAATTAATTTTAGGCTTTTTTTTAGATTTTTTTAAAATTATTTAATTAGGAATTGAGAAATTTTCTTTATTTTTAAGTTTAGAAAAATTAAAAACCTGATATTTTCTAATTAATACTAGTTTCTTATCAGAGTAAGCTACTCATTTATATCAAACTAAAACTGATGTACAGCATTTGAAGTAATTGAAATAAGAGCTTATATGATGTATACTCCTAAAAAGGATAACATTTTGTTTTCTAAATTCGTCAAAGACATTAAAAGCTATCCTTCATAAATGTTATATAAAATGAATTGGTATTTAACTTTTTGACATTTATATGATTATACAATATATGACAGAAAAATTCTATACACAAAATGACAATAATATTGTGTCAATTTATGTATTAGTATTTATTGTGATATGAATTATCATATTACAAGCTTTTGTGAATATATATATTAAATATATGGTGTAAGAGTGGTAAATCTTATATTTTTCAGGCCGTTTTATTGATTGGGGAACAAGGCACTGCCAAGACAGTTATCATTAAAAGTTTCCTTTCAAAATATAATCCTGAAGAACACACATTCAAGAATGTGAGTTTTTCTTCAGCCACAACTCCAGTGATGTTTCAGGTTGGTGAAACTAAAATTTACAAATATTTTTCCAAGAATAACAGAAAGATAAAGCTAAAATATTTGTATGTTGCTTAAAAGAAATAAATAAAAAACTGTTTTCATATTTAGATAGTGTAGATAATTAAATTTCTAGGGCACAAATCCTGGATATTTTCTGCTACCACTGCAAATGTTTCTTGCCTAATAGGCTGTGAGTCTGGTAAAAAAAGTAAGAACAGTGTGTGTGTGTTCATGTATATCACATGAAGGCATAAAAATATCGCACATACATATATATATAGAAAACAATTCCTATAAAAGAAAAAACATTATATAAAAATGGATGAATCCACTTTTTTAAGGTAAACTTACAATTTAATAGCAATTATGTAAAAAAATTTTCTTACTAGTAACAAAAAAATTTTATTCTGAAATTCCAGGGATGGGAAAAAAGATCAGAAACTAGAGAACATTTGAGATAGGAGGAAAATTTCCATCGCTGATTCCTGCATTCCACCACTTAATGTATATATGAATCCACTCTGTGAGTGCAGTGTATGAGTGGTGGAATGCAGGAATGGGTAATGCTGGTTTTCCTCCCATCTCAAATGCTCTCTAGTTTTTGATCCTTTTACATCCCTACATCCCAACAATTGTAGAATAAATTTTTTTGTTGCTAGTTTCTGCACTCTTTTGCAATTAGCATTGCAGGTTGTACCATCTATTGATTGATATGTGTACTGAACAATATTAAACAATCTGTATCATTGCATTTTGGGCTGTAACTAATCTGTCATGAATCATTTTAGGCTCTAGGTATGAAAGACACTTTCTAGGGAGTAGTGAAGTGTTTTGGTGTGTAGGCTGGAAGTAGACATGCTGTGGTTTATAAATTACAGCTGATGGAGAAGAAGGAGAAAATCAAGGTTTTTTCAACCCATTTTCTAGAAGTTAAGGAAAATTAGCTGAACTTTTGAGACAGTTTTGTACTTGATTAGTGAAGGGCTTTTTGTCTATAACCCTTTGGCTTACGTGCTACCAAACAAAATGTACAAGCTGCCAATTTCAACTGGACTCATCCCTACATAGGGATCACTACCATGCTCTCTGATTTAATCACAAAGCTACACAATGGGCTTTCTATGTGCTGTCTATTGTGGGTAATTATAACCTGTATTTTAGTGTTGTAGGCCCATAAACTTACCACTGACCCATTGGGGAACCTTATGAAAGAACCAATTACAATAGCCAACAATAATATAACATCAAAAGACAAAAACGGACCTTCTGGACCATCTAGGCTGTTTCTGTTCAGTAAATTAAACTAAAAAAAACACCTCAAATCCAACCTTTATCATTAAAATATTTATTAAATTTTCCCTTAAAATCTCTTACATTACTTGCACCCACCCCATGTGAAGGCAACCTGTTCCAGAGACCAACCACTCTGGCTTAGTTGAAGATTATTTCTTTCCTGCCAAATTTTATGTTTAGTCCTTTAGTCTTACTCCTGTTGAGGTACATTCCTGTATGTGGTGAGGGGACCTCCCAGGTAAGGTTCTGTTTCTTCAGTTTACATCCTCTAGGATCTGAAAATCCCCCCACATGTTTGCTGTGTGTGTGGTGTCTCGTGATGGGAAGGGGAGGATCCTGGTGGTTTAAGGGTGTCATCTCAGTTCATATTGGTGGCACTTTGACACATCACTTTGGCTTTTAATTCCTGTAAGTAAGTGGCCTTGGGGGTGGCTCCCCCAGGGTCGATCAATGGTTCTGTCTTTCTTCCACCATGTGAAAAGTCTTTTGCTGTCTGTGAATGCAAGTGTTGACAAGTCTATGACTACTCCTGTTTCTGTCCCTGTCATTGCATCCAGTGACTGCTCTGGTCCATTTCCTTTGGCTCCGAGATGCAGAACCATTGTTTGGTTGTGCACTCAGTCTCTGGAGTCTTATTTCCCTGACAGAGATCTGCCCAACTGACCCAGTGCAGTTTCCATGAAGGTCGCCAGACCTCTTTCTACTAATGAAAACATCGTGGTTGCAAACAAAAGGGTTCTCCATCCAGTTCTCCTCCTCCTAAGTAAAACTAGCCACTTTGTTTCAGGCAGATTGTCTCTATGATTATAATCGTCCATTTACAGTGGTGGAACTTAATCTTTCTCTTCACTGGTCTGGCAGTACATCACTCAGTCCTGATGATGTTCACTACGAGATGCTATGTCATCTCTCTCCTGCTTCTCTTGTTCTTCTTCTGGTTGTTTTAACCAGTTTTGGCATGAGAATGTTTTTCCAGATGCGTGATGCAAGGCTATTGTTCTCCCTTTCTCAAAGCCTGGGAAGGATCTCAAAATTCATTCTAATTATCATCCAATTGCTTTGACTAGCTGTCTCTGTAAGGTTTTAGAGAGGGTGGTTAATGCATATCTGGTTTTTGTAGACATCATGGACCACCTAATTTGTCTTGAAATCCTGATCAAGGAAGCCTTCCTCAAGAGAGAGAGCATCTTATTTCTATCTTCATTTTGCATGCCCTCCATTCATATGGATTGTGAAGCCCTTTACCCATTATTATTCATAACTTTTTACTTCACAGCTGTTACCAAGTCCGTGCAAGTTCAACCTTGTCCCAATCCTTCATATAGGAACTTGAAGTCCCTCAGGGCTGTGTCTTGAGTGTCACACTTTTCAGTATTAAGAACAATGCTATCACTGAACAACTTCCTCCTACTGTTGCAAACAGCCTCTTTGTCTATGACTTCCACATTTCTTGTTGGTCATCGAACATAAGGTTTATTGAGTGTCAGCTTCAGACTGCTCTCACTCACTTGTTGGGGTGGACCAGGGCACATAATTTCACATTTTCTTCTTCTAAGAGTGTTTACATTCATTTTTACCACCAGCAGGGTTTGCGTCCTGATACAGGGCTCCATCTTGATGGTGATGTTTCTCTTGTGGTAGCTGAGACTAAGTTCCTGGGCCTTATCTTTGACTATATAAGCTTATTTTCATTCCTCATGTTAAGCAGCTTTGTGTCAAGTGTACAAGGGCACTGAACGTCCTCTCTTCCCTCTTTTGAAGTGTGAATAGATGTTCCATGCTCAAGATCTACTGTGCTGTCATACAATCAAAGCTAGACGATGGGTCTATGGTTTACAATTTGCCTAGGAACTCTGCCTTGAGGATGTTGGATGTGTTCACTACTGAGTTGTATGCCATTTCACTTGCCTCAGATCACATAGAAGCTAAGTAGTACACTAACTGTACTATTTACACCGACTCTCTTAGCTCTCTACTGACCCTGGAATTGCTTCACATGAGTTCTCACCCTGATCTCTTAGATATTCAGAAATGACTGGCTCAGTTTTCTCTGTCATCCATTTCTATCTGGTTTTTCTGGATTCTGGCCATATTGGTATTCCAGGGAACAAGCTTGCTGACACTGCAGCTAAGCCTGATGCTCTGGTGTTGTCACAGCTGTGCCTGTCCCATATATGGACTATGTTCCTGTGATTAAAGCATGGTTTTATGCCACTTGGCAGTCGATTTGTAGTGAGCAAATTCATAACAGCTTTTCCAAATCAAACCTTATGTTGTTGTTTGGCTGTGTAGTTTCTGTAATGATCGAAGTGAGGAAGTTGTCTTGTTTAGGCTACACATTGTTCACAGTTCTTACTTATTTTATTTTATCTGGAACTGATCTGCCAATATGTGGCCTTTGTAACACTTAAATCACAATTGCTCACTTTTGACATGTTTTTTTTTCAAGGTTTACCCCTCATGTTGGACAGTGTCGTTGATAATGGTGACATTATCCCACATGCTTGTATTTTTACATTTTTGCAGGCCATAGGCCTTTCTAATTCTTTTTTAAGTTTTTACTTGATTTTTGGGCTTAAGACTTAATTGAGATGTAATGACGCCTTTCGGCATCATACGAGGAACCACACTATTAGGGGTGGGTAGACCAAGGATGGGAAAATTAAATGCTCTTCTCTTTTCAAAAATATTTAGTTGTGCTTTACCATTTACTAATTTGATACCCAAATCTAAATAATTAGTATATGCATTATTATTATTATTACTTTCTTCTGTTTTTAGTTCTTTTGGATATGTTATACTTGGTGAAAAGTACTAATTGTTAATAGCAATTGGATCATCTATATAATGAAAAATATAATTGTATAATTTAGAATTTGAAAGCTATTTCATAAATGCATTTTCATAAAAAAATAAATATAAATTGACCATATTTGAAGAAAAGTTAGCTCCCATTGGAATCCCCACAGTTTGTTTATATAACTGTTCATTAAAAGTAATATAACTATTATATACACAGAAATGAAAAATGTTTTTACATTGAATTTTAGTAAATTTATACTTATGAATATTTATTTCTGTGTTTATAAAATCATAGAACAGATAGTTAAACACTTTTATCAAATCCTTTAAGTCTTTTTCAGTGTATAAACTAGTAAAATCATAAGTAGAAACAAAACTGGCCATATTTGAAACATTTAAGTTATTTAAGCATTCCAAACTGGAATGTTGTTCTTAATAATCCCAAAATATTCATTTGTGTTACTTAAACATAGTGTTTTTATTTTTTCATACACAACATCCAGAATATTATTTATAACAATTGAAACAGATTTAGTAACTGTGTTTAAAGAATTTGTTATAAATCTGAATCTGATGGAATTTTTATGTAATTTAGGAATTGCATATAAAAATGCCAGATGAGAAGAAAAAGATATATATTCCACTTTTTATGGCCTTCATTATATTAGTAATAATATTGTTTTTTAAAGTACTTTTGCTAAATGTAATTGTATTGTTAATTTCTTTAACTAGAATTTGAGCATACAGTTTTTTACAAATAAAACCTAAGTTGCAAACTGCCTTGTCAATGGGAGTGATAATAAATTTTTCTTACTCCTTCTTTAATTTATTTTTGAAAACATGAAAAGAAGTATCAATTTTATATTGAACAAGGTTTAAATTTCTTAAAATTTTTTTTTATGTAATTCATGAAATACAGTTTCCATTCAAAAAAGAAACATGGAGGATAGTAGGTATTCTTACTTATTTCGATAATATAATTTATCAATATTTTTTCCACATCTTTCAATATTTCACATTTTTTAAATTCTAAATTTAGTTCCATTTTTCAATATTGTTTGCAATTCTTTATCTTTAATGATCTTTAAATTACCTGTAACTATATGTTTATGAAAAAGGATCCTTAAATTCATTGTTATTACAATTACAAGGTAGTTTCTCAATATATATTTGATTGAAATCTTCAATACATTTTTTGTAATTGAAGATAAGAGGACCTATAGGTTTATTATATTTAAAACTAACTATATGCTGCTTTGATTTAATAGGGAAAATATTTTCTTGAACACTTTCATGGATCAAGGAAGGTATTGCTAAGTCATAATATATATTATGTTTAAAATCAATAACTATATATGGTTTTTCTTTTTTCCTTTATTAAAGGATTATTTTTAGCTTTTTTTTGTGTTTTTAAATGGAGTTTTGACTTTATATATATATGGAAACAAAATGGATACAGCTGTATGTGCTTAGTAACAATAAAATGGATTTCAAATAATTTTTATATTTATTTCTAACAATCTTTAATGATTTTAACTGCACAATATATAATATTTATAGAATGACAGATGTGAAAAATTTTCATACTTCATTTCCTTTTATTGTTTTGCTCTCATAACAGCTGACATATTAATTAAGAAATATGTTGTAGATTGTACTTATATTACAGAGAACAGTTGAGAGTTACATAGACAAAAGAATGGGAAATACATATGGACCTCCAGCTGGAAGGAAGATGACTATTTTCATTGATGACATAAACATGCCTATTATCAATGAATGGGGAGATCAGGTAATAATTTTGATTACTTATTCAGTATTGTTTGTTTTATTAATAAGTTTGCAAGAAAATGCTTACAGACTGCTAATATTTAATATGGAGCATTTGGTTCAAAAGTTATTGCAGAGTTTACATTATGTTTGCAGTGAAGTGGATTTGTGAAGTATATCTTATATTATGACCATTTTATAGCCTGGCTATAGTTTAATGATATATTAATTCATTACTTAGCTAGGCTGCATATTTTGTTTTACCTACCATCATGCCCCAAGTTGAACAAAAAATGTGGCCTGGCTAACTAATGAAAGTATACTTGCTGGAAAATTCTTATCATTGCTATAAGTGTAGCTACCAGTTTGGACATCAAATTTGATGTCATTCCTTTAAGTTGCATGCTAAAACCTTTTTTTGGCTGCAACTTTTTTTCACACCTAAGGTGTTTTTCATTAGATAACATGACTTTTTGTCAATACACACCAACATACCACAGCAAGTAAGAAAGTGAGACTCTATAGTAGCTTTAGGATCACAACCCTATTATTTGGAACAGACCTATACTTTATAGAACCAATCAGATTCTTTTAAATATTTCGTTGTAGTTTTCCTCTCTAAAACAGTGTAAATAACTTCCTTTATAGTAATGTCATGGAATCTAGATTGATAGTTTCTTGTCATCACCCTCATGCACTCAGCACAGCCGTATAAAGCATCATTATTTATGCTAATATTACTTGATGCTAAACCTTCTTTAACTAGGAGAATTTCATAAAATTCAGCAAATCTGTGTTTAAAAGTAGGCAATGAATAATGAATAATAGCCATTTACCTGTACAATTCTTTTGAAAACTTGAGCAAGAAACTACTAATCTAACTTGTTTGGCCTAACCCATATTAATGTATCTGCATGTGCTTTCACCCTATAGTTTTGCTGCTCTAAATCACCTATCTTTAATCTAAATGAAATAAAAATAAAAACTTTCCACCTTTACTCTTAGGTGAAGCTGTAGCAAAAGAATGTCATACCGATAGCTCACTTAGCTTTTTGCATAGGAATGCACAAAAATTTTGATGAAAATTGAGCATTTTTTTATAATAACTTTGCAGATGTGGCTTATATTTAGACAAAATTTGAAACATAATAGTAGGTTGTAAAGATCTATCAGTGTACCAAATTTGAAAAAATCCATGAAATAAAGTATGTTTTCTATCATGTATCGCCTGCATGTACTTGGTAGAGCTGTATAAAACATAATTATTTATGCTAATTGCTTAAGCTAATATCACATAATGCTAAACACTCTTTAATTAGGAGAATTTGATAAAATTTATCAAATTTTTGTTTAAAATTTGGAAATGAATAATAACCGTTCACCCATAAGATTCTTTTGAAAACTGCTAATCTAGGTTGCTTGGCCAAACCAATACTTGTATATCTGCATGTCCTTTTACCCTATAGTTTTGCGGCTGTAAATCAATCAGATTTAATCTGAATGACAAAAAACTAAAACCAGTTCACTTTTACTCTTAGGTGAAGTTGTAGTAAATATGTCAGACCAATGAAGGGGTGCACTTTTTGAATTTTTAAAAAATCAACACAACTATATAATGTGCTTTTGTTAATTAATAACCACCTTACTTTCTTTATGTATTTAGGTAACCAATGAACTTGTTCGCCAGCTCAAGGAGATGAACGGTTTCTATAGTTTGGACAAACCAGGGGATGTCACTAACATTATTGACATACAATTCATAGCAGCCATGATCCATCCTGGTGGAGGAAGAAATGATATCCCTAGTCGCCTTAAAAGACAGTTTTCTGTGTTTAATTGTACCTTGCCTTCCAATAACTCCATTGATAAAATATTCTGTATGTTGAAATTGTTTTAGCATTTAATAGTAATAAATAGTTGAAATTTTTAATGCTCATATTTAGATATGTTATAATCATTAAAAAATATCTTTTATGTGTTTATATATAGACAAGAAAGTGATGTATAATAAAGAAAATAATGAAGAGTTTCTGTTAATTACAGAAAGGAAAGCCTGTAATATGGGTTAAAAATGTGTGCTATGTTGGATCCACAAATATTCTTTCACAGTATTTCGGTGTAGAATAGTTTAATTATGATCTGTATATCTTATTTATATGTATATAAATAACCAAATTAACCAGATCACAATGAAATCTATAGATATACATGTACATATTTGATCATTTGTTTGGAGTTAAGCACAAACGTATACAGTGGACTATCTATGCTATGCCCACCATAGGTATCAAAAGCTAGTTTATAGCATTATGAGCCTTCAAACTTAATGCTGCCACTAAGGAGTATATTTAATCATATATTTATGTGTATCTTTATGCTAACATATTCTATGTGCACTGAATTGGCTGTGCTTTGTTAACTAAATGAAAAACAATTTCACAGGTGTGATAGGATGTGGTTATTTCTGCTCAACACGCTTTTGTGAAGAAATTGTTAACTTTCTCCCTAAACTTGTCACTACCACAAGAATACTTTGGCATGAGACAAAGGTTTGTTATGTGGTTTTATTAAACTTTTCTTATATAACATATTTTGTACCAAAGTTTTTAAGTATGATTTATCAGTCTTGGTTATTGGTGTACATGTATTACCAAATTTTGTTCTGCAAGTGTTTATGTTCTTATAGTTTTCATATTTTTTTTAATTATGTAATAGATGTGATAATTATTAATTACATTTGTGTATTTTTTGTTATGATTTTTATATTGTTAATGCTTAGCTGTTGTGGTTATTAGTTATTACAAATAAATTTTCCCATTTGAACACAGAAAAAAATGCTCCCGACTCCTGCAAAGTTTCATTACATTTTCAACTTACGAGATCTTTCTCGCATATGGGAGGGGATGCTGAAGATCAGAGGAGAAGAATGCAAGCTAATGAGAGACATTTTATCTCTTTGGAAACATGAAGTTACCAGAGTTATTGCAGATAGGTAGATTAGCTTATTTTTCAATTAATTTCTTTTGAGAAAACTTAAATTATCAAATGTCTAGTAAAACTAATATCTGTTCAAAATTTAAAAACATTGAAGGATAAATTCATACAAGTATACATTAATTTGATTCATTACATACTTCTAAGCATTTTTGTTTCTTTTTTCTTCAGAATTTTTCACCAAAGCCACATTTAGTTTTGACCAGAGTTTAGCTATAAAAAGACCATTTTTAAATGATAAAGAGCTCTTTCCAACTCTGTTTTAAAATTTATGTGCTATTTGAAATTATAGTATATTCCAGACATTTAGTTTTTCATCCATTTAGAATATTTAGGTTGATGCCTTTGAATTATATTTTCTAACTCTTGTACTAGCTTTGTATTATGCAGATGCTACATAACTTAATCTCCTATAGTATATATTTATTTTATATTTAATTCATAAACTTTTCTAATTTATGATTCTGTAGTACCTTTAATCTGTTAGAGTTAATATGATAAGTTCAAACTGAAGCTATACTTGTTTTTGGTGCTTGGTTGGTCCAGGAACCCATCTACTCTTTCATGAGATAGTTGCATTGTGTCCTTTTTGATCAGATAAAAGAAGTATTTCTGCATCCCTCCACCCTTTTCTGATTGGTTAGTGCAAGAAGAATGAGCTCTGTGACACACAGCTTTGGCATTTTTGGTTGAGATTAATTCTAACTTTGAAAGGAGACACTTTATTCCTTGAACCAAGAGAGTAAGAACATGCTGTGTCATTGTTTTAGAACTTCTATGTCTGCTGACTACTCATTTTAGTTTAATTTCAAGTTCATTTAGTTTTGTCTTCTCAGCTTGGAACCATGTAACACAATTGTACATGAAACAAACAGGTTGTAGTTGTGTTCATGAAACCTGTTTATTTCTCCTCTTCTGCACATGTTCTTACATTAACATTTCATTCAGCCAAATCTTCAAAACTCTTATTATGAGTGGCTAATTTACCTGTGTACCATTATTGTTCTAAATCAAGAATATCAATGTAAACATACTATGTATGAATTTTGGTGCAAGTGACAAGTATTTGGTATGCTTTAATGAAAATAGTGAATTACAGATGAGATCTGCAGTTTTACTTTGTACATAATCCTTCATCAGCTATGTTCTGGTTTTGTAGAATAATCTATGAAAACCTGGTAGAAATCCAACATCCTAGGTTAGATTTGTTAGGTAGGGCCCATAAAAATCATCTGTTACACATTGAATGTTCCCCAGCCTTGCATGGCAAGACAATCTGGCCATCTACTGATGTCCCAGTGACATTGAAATTGTACAGGCTACTAATCTTGACATTTTCTGCTCTAGTGATAAACCTGAGTTCCCTCCAGTCGAGCTTAATGAAGAGACAAATGACAAACGAACATGGCTTATAAGTGAGACCTGCTCTCCAATTAGCCTCGCTATTGCATTATAAACAGAGGGCCAATACACACACATGTTAAATGTGCAGCAAGTGTGGAATATGTAATACTAGTGTTACATAGCTCAAGTTGTTGGGAAGAATAGTGTGTCTGGTAACTAAGGTGTTACCACAGATGAGAGACCCTCATAAAAATGTAGTATTTCTGTTTTTGATGCCATGAGTTAGCTTGGTTAGTTTTCTGCTGGAATATCAACAGTGCTCCAGATAGCTAGCATATCCGCATAAATATGCATAATTTTTAGAGAGCCACGTGTCTTTTTTTATTTTACACGTATCAGTTAAGGAATTACTACTTGTATCACCAATATACTACAATATAAATTGGTGTGCCTATTGGCTGCACACTGTGAGAATAGCGATGTTTCAACATAAATACTTCCATCATACTTAAAAAAGAAAGTAAGTCACAACTAGGAATGTAACAATACATCAAACTATCAATAGATTGAGATTATGAACGTCTTGATAGCAATGCATTGATGATAAATATTAGAAGTGATAACAATCACTGATAGTACCCTCAACTATCAATGTTTTTGTTAGGTTACAAAACTTGATTATTTTCCCATTCTGTTTGTTTTATTTAAGCCATTTCTCCATAATTGTTCTTTGTTTTAGACTGGTTTCTACTCACCTGTAAGCCTAAAAACATACATAACATCTGTATTGGAGAGTTAACAATTACTATAATTCCAAACTTACTGTGTGTATCTTCATGAAAATTGGCAATATTTTTGTAAATGTGAAAGTATGTTACATACAGAATATTATAATTTTCTTTAATACAGCATTTGTATGAAGGTATGATAGGTATAACTTATTTTCATATTTTATTTACATAATCTATAGAACCTTCTAAATGAGAATCAAAAGTCTTTTTTGATAACATTGTATATTTTATCTGTAGATTTTCCTACACACAGAACATATACTTTAGTCTTACATTTTTGATGAAGGTCTAGCAGATGGGGCTATTATTGATCTTGCAGATTTTTATAGAACCAATAAACTCACCAAAATTTCAAATGATGCTGGGAAAAACACTGAAACTGAAATGATACCCGTGCTGAACAAAAATGATCTGGTACAAACTGAATGGCCTAGATTTAAAAGCACTTTGAAAGATACATATAAACCCAAAAACTGAAATTTTATGTAAGAAGGGTTATTATACAGCATGGTTATCAATTTCCTAACATGTCAGAATTGTGTCAAATGCCTTTACACTTTTGTGTAACCAGCAAAATGGACTCAAAACAAAATTCAGATACTCTTTGAAGGCCGAAAATATAAACTATTTAATGAAAAATGTAATGTTAGACCCAGAAATTTCATTCTGTTATTTCAGTCCTGCAATTGAAATGTGGTACAGTGATAAGAACAGAATAGGAGCAAAGCTTTCACAAACAAAGAATTGAGAAAATTAAAACTAAACGTATACATTGTGTGTACATGATTTTATAGTACCTTCTCAAGTGATATAATTGCTACATAAACCAGCACACTGATACTTGTCCATAATACTGAACTGCTGACACACACACACACCAACATAGGCAGAGTTATGAAAAAGAAAATATTTTATTTATTCCCATCAGTGAATGGTACCAATTCAGTAGATGAGTTCATTTTCATCTTGGTCTCTTTTTCTTGACTATTGATGAATGACAGAGGGCCAGGATTTTGAAGTGGCTAATTTTATGGTCATTATTATAGAAATGTTTAGTACAGGTTTGTCTAGATCATAATTCTGGATATTACAGATGTGCTTATGTACTTGTTCAGACAACATCCAACCTGTTTCTCCTACATACAGTTGTCCACAATATAAACAAGTAACCCAATAAATTATACAGTTGGAGGTACAGGTGAACAACTGTTTGATTGTCTACAGAAGTACTGGTGTTGATGTAACGGCATGTGTTGCACCATGAATGTGTACAGAAACGTTTACCACACTGAAGATTGGTGATTTCTTCTGGTGTCTTCAGCCATGCAAAAACTAATAAATCTTTTACTTTTTTCATGTCAATATGAAATGATAGGTTTATCCTTAAATGTTTCTCCCAACATTTTGTGATTTTGAAGTATCCCAAAGTTGTTTTTTATTATCTTAGAAACCTAGATGTTTTGTGGATGATATGTCAGTATCAAAGGGACTTGATTTTTTATGATAATTCTTTTTTGTCTTCAATTTTAGAGTATTTTTATGTCTGATGTGGTTAGAATTGGACTTGGAATTGCATAAACAACATAGGTGGTGAAACTGTAATTTTGGAAAGCCTCCTAAATTTAGCATATACTATGTGCACCACAGAAAACATCGATAATGAAGTTGTGCACTTAATTCAATGCTTTACTAATGTTAACCAGTTCTCTACTAAGGTAGTTACAGAAACTATTAATGAATTTAAAAAACAGACAAGAGGCATTTAACAAAGAAACAAACTCAAACAGTCCACAAAACAAAGTAAACCTAATTATTTGCACTATCCCATATATAGAAAATATTAGCATACCTCTATCAGAAATTTGGAAAAGACAACTACATAAGTATAACCTTAACATAACACCTAGATTCGTTTTCACTTCTGGAATGAAAATTAAATGCATGTTAAGAAAATTATGTAATGAATCCATCCCACCATGAAACATTTACAAAATAAAGTGTATAATTGCCTAGCCTTTTACATGTGTATTATATGTTATCTAAATGCTTTGTGAGTTTTAACATAGAAAAGGAGTATTCTAGTACAACATTTATCACTCTCCTATAATGTATATTTCATTTCTCAAAATGTTTTAAAATTTTTCTATGTTCTAATTTGCATTACCCTAAATCAGTTAGAGTCGTGTGATTAGTTCAGCTCTAGATGTTAATATATTTAGCAGGATTTAATAAGGGAAAATATCTACTGTTTCATGAGATAATTGTATGGTATCTTACTTTACTATGTGTATGAAAGAAACTTTTATGAAAATCACATGGATCAGATATTTCTGTATTTTTGTGATCCAATTTTCTGATCAGTTAGATACAGAGAGAAAGAGAATTGTGAATTCAATTTGGTGCAGCCTGGCATAGCCAGGTGGTTAGGGTGCTTGACTCGCAATCTGCGGGTCACGGTTTCGAATCCCCGTCTCACCAAACATGCTCACACTTTCAGCCGTGAGGGCATTATAATGTGATGGTAAATCCCACTATTCATTGCTAAAAGAGTAACCCAAGAGTTGGCGGTGGGTGGTGATGACTAGCTGCCTTCTGTCTAGTCTTACACTGCTAAATTAGGGACGGCTAGTGCAGATAGCCCTCGTGTAGCTTTGCGCAAAATCCATAACAAACAAACAAACAGTTTGGTGCTTTCAAGACATGTTTGCTAATATCTTGAGAAATTCAAGGCTTCATTAAGAGATATCATCCATTTATATACTCATAATCTTGCTTCTGCTGTTCATGTATATTTTATCTTCAGGTCATCCATAAATAAAATCTCCACTTCATCTTCTTTTATTTCATTTCATAGTTAACAGTAAAATAGTCTTACAATTAGATTGATCAGCCAACCTATGATTCATTCTACAGTCTTTTTTTTTATTAGTAAAATGTTTGCCTGTCTTCACACTGAGTCTTTTCTTTTTCTTTCCATTCACCTACTATAAACCATAAACTGTAGTTGTTTTTTGAAATCTTTAAACTTTTTGCCAGATTTATCATTGAATTAATACAGCTTAATTTGATCAAATAACTTTGGTACTGTAGATCCAGACTAATTATTGCAGAAATAATAGTTGATTTTGCTTCTATTCCTTCTAATTATTTTTCTGTATTGTGCTTCTTGTAAGACACTATCCAGAGATGCATCTGCATTCTGTCAGAAAATAAAAGCCAAAATGATCTGTGAGGTGGATCAGAGAATTTCTGATTGACTTAGAAAAATCCTTTGTTGAACACTGAGCACTTTCCCATACTTTGGAAGGTATTCCAAAACTTCATGCTCCACTGACCCACCAAGATAAGTAAAGTAAAAAACAAAAAGGGTTTAATTTTCAGATTTTTGACATTATTGTAACTAAAGTACTGATTTTTCCATGCATGTATTCTGTATTGTATTTTGAATTTCATGTATTTATATGCCATTTTATGTAAAAATAAGTTTTTCTCTAGAAACTTATATATCTAAAGAAATGTTATGATGTTTATTTATTTTTATTCCTTTTCTCTAAAAGGCTTTAATTATGTTGTTTCTGTATTTTACTTTTGAAATAACTTAATTTGACTTTTTGTGTTACATGTTTAGATAGAGGTTTGTGTTAGGTGAGGACATTATTCATGCTTGTGAGTTTCATGAACAAGTGGTTAGTGTAATGTGTTACCCTGTTGTGCATACTGTGTCAGTTTCTGTTCATATTTCTAGTTAGATTGAGGGTTGCAATTTCACTGGTTTGCACTGTAAATGATAAATTGGTATTAAAGATGAATTCAAGTTGGCATTAGGGCAAGTCTGAGATAAGGAGAAGAGGTTTATAGTATTCAAACACTACACATCTCATTCTTGTATAGCATATATATCATTTACACAACATATTAAAAATTTTGTTTGTTGTTTGTTTGTTTCTTGAATTTTGTGCAAAGCTACACAAACATTATCTGCTTTAGCCATCTCTAATTTAGCAGTGTAAGACTAGAGGGAAGGCAGCTAGTCATCACCACCCACCGCCAACTCTTGGGCTACTCTTTTACCAATGAATAGTGGGATTGACCATCACATTATAATGCCCTCATGGCTGAAAGTGTGAGCATGTTTGGTGGGACGGGGATTCGAAACCACGACCCGCAGATTGCGAGTCAAGCACACTAATCACCTGGCCATACCGAGCCTTTTTTTTATTTAAAACTTAGAACATTCTAAATCCAGTTGAGGTCATGTGCTAAACTGAGCCAGAGGTGTTACTTTGTGTGCAGGGTTCAATTGTACAAACTATCTGTTTTTTCATGGAATAGTTATGTTGTGACCTACTGTACTGTCTGTATGGAGGATGTATTCATAACTTTCACGTGGAGCTGAAATATTTCCAGATTTTTGTGATCCAATTTTCTAATTGGTTAGCTATAGAGAATGATTTGAAATACAATTTGACACTTTCAAGATATATTGATGTCTAAGTTTGGAAAGCCAAGAAGATTTGCTTGAAAAATCTCTTCTGCATTTACAGCCTCATAATTATTGCTTGTGCTGATCATGTGCATTTTATCTACAATTAATTAATGATACAGTCTGTATTTTCATTTGCTTTTTATCTAAATACATTTCATATTTGTTGTATTTCATTTCATAGTTAACTGACCTAATCCTAAAATTAGATCATTCAGTGAACTGTAATTCATTATCCACTCATCTCTACAAATAAACAGGCTTTTCTCCTTTTTTTTTCTTTTTACTTACTACAAATCACTAACTCCTGTCCTTCCACATCTAATTTTCAAATTTCTAGTTGTGGAGATCAGGTAATTGTGTATTGTGTTTATCCTTGAATTACCACAGAAACATATGGTAGTCTCCACTGAAATTTGAGTCAAAATATTATGAAAAATGTAATCAACAAACAGTGTTTATTTGTATAAATGTTAATATGTATTTTTTATTTGTCTTTCTGTTTTAGTTTTAAGCATTTTTATAAAAAAATACTTATATCTTTAACAGTACTTTGAACTTCTATTTTAAAGGGACAAAAAGGAGCTTATTAGCCCATTAAGAATTTCCCTTCCAGCTCTCAACTATAATCACCCCCTTACCCCTTCATCTAATCATTTCTTCAGTTAAATTTTCTGCCTCCACCACCCTTGAAGGCAGCTCATTCTAAAAGCCAACCACCCTGTTTGAAAAGTTGAAACATCTACAATATTTTTTAATTAAAAAACAAATACATAATTCTTTTTTTGCTATTAATATATTTCTTGGTTCAAATTATTAGGAAATAAGTATATTGGTATCTATATTGTCACTCTAAAAAATTTTTTTTCTGTTTTTTTTGTAAGTATTAAATCAATTTGGTTACCTATTTTGTTTTAAATTTTACTTAAATAATTTTGTAAAAAATTGCTTACAATTATATTTATAAGAAGAGAAAAAAGCAGTGTTTCTGATATTTATGAAATTTTTGGTTTAGCCATTAAATAGGCAGAAAGCATTATTTTTACACTGCAATTAATTTGTAAAAAACAAAAATAGTTGAAAAATTTAGAATGGTGTATGTTTTTAAACAAAATTGACTGAAAAGCAATATTTATTGCACCACATACTATGCTTTACTTTTAAAATTGTAAAAAAAATTGAAATTTGCCAATTACAATAATAAAGAATATGCTAAAGATTTACATGCACTTTTACATAAAAAATGTTTTGTGAATGAATACTACTCATACTTTTATATATTTAAGAATAGTATTTTTATTGATATGCATGTGTCCATATAAATATATATATATATATGTATTAGGTTTACAAATGAAGAAGACAAGGTATGGTTTCTAAGCACCTTGCATAATGTGGTGAGCTCACATCTTGGGGAAAATCTTTCTTCAGAATTGCCAGCAGAACCTTATTTTGTAAACTTTCTCAAAGACCCACCAGAGCCTACTGGAGAGGAAGCTGATGATATTGCCATAGAAGTACCTAAAGTTTATGAAGAAGTAATTTCAAAATAGAAAGAAATTTTAAACACAACAAAAATGTTAATTACATATTTATCTCTTGTTTTTCAACTCATTAATGATAATTTTTGAACACAGTAAATAAATAGTACTGAAATAATTTAATAAGTACCTACTTATACACATCAGTGTAAAAGTAATGTTGTAGTATAGTTCTTTCATTGATGGGTTTTCTTAAATTACCTTGTTAAAATAATTTAATCTCCAGTCTGTTAAGAGTCACAAATTAGTTTATATCCTCCATTAACATTATTATTAGCTTGAACACTGTAGTAACTTACAGGCCCAAGTTTTCAGCAACACTAACTGCACTACACAATGTAAACAAAAATTCACTTGTACAATTAAGTTCAATAGCAAACACTGCAAATAACTCTCTTTTCTGATAGGTGAAATCCACTGGCAGCTCCAACCTAGATAAACCTCTGAATGTAGTCTTATCAGAAACTTGGGGCTCCTCAACAGGTTGATATTCTGCTGACAAGTTATTTTCTGGATTTATCCACTCCCTCTTCTTTCTTCATGTTTTGAAGCACTTTCCCACCTCTCATTACCAAATCAAGTTGAACTATTGTAGCTGTATAACCCATTTCAACTAACATACCACAAGACTTCCATCCAAAGACCTATTGACTAGTTCTGTAAACAGTGAACTTCATATTTCATTCAGAACAATTGGGGTATTCTCAGCTGAACATTTTTCTGTAAGTCCAGCTAATTACTGCTTCCCAATTATTGTAGCCCTTTGTTTTTCCTTCAGTTTGGTTGCATTCAAAGACTCGTCATTGAGATGTTGTCTCTTTGGTGTCTTAACAGCTGTTGACACCTCAAGTATGTATTGTAATGGTCAAATTTCCCTCTTTCTGGTATTTTTGGAAATACTTTTTATTCAATACTAGCTTTTGTCTACCATTCATGGGAACATGTCCTTCAAGTTACACCTAACTTGAATAATGTCTTGGAGTTTATTCCCTCATTTCATAGAAACTATTTGTCTAGCCTATTCTTTTAGTTCTTCTGGGCTATCCTCAGCGTGAATTGATGTTTCAGTATTGCCCAATTTAACAATCCCTTAACTTCAAGAGGGTGTCCTTAGTTGTTCATCTGCAACCTTAATGGACTCTATCTCCATCACCATCTGCAGTGCTTCCTTTAAAAATGTACAACTACTCTGGTTTAGCCTAATTCTCATATCCTCATCCATTATGGCATCTATAAATTGGTCGTGTGCAAAAAAGTTCATCATCTCATGAAGAATGTCTGGCTAAGATAGTTAGGCAAGCCTTTCCAAATCTTTTGCATGTTCATCTAAAGTCTCTTCTTTCCTTCATAACATATTCCAGAACTTTGCTTTAGGTACTTCTTACTGGTGAAACATTCCAAATCTGTTGAACAAGGCAGTTATTAATGCTTAATAATTGTTGCTGGTCTCAGCTGGCAGGTTACTCAAAGCTAGTTCTTTTAAATGGGTAGCAAGATGGATGGCTTATTATTTGCTATTCCACCTGTTAATACACTCTTGCAATGATATTGAACTGAGCATGATATTATTTCCATGGTGCTTTCCCATCCTAGTCCTTTGGTACCTCGATTGGCCAATTTTAAAAAGGCCAGTTGAATTCTGATACTGAAGTAATACAAGAAGGTCCTTCAGCAAGAGTGGTAAAAAATGTATACCAAATAAGTCCTCTCTTCCATATCTTGGTTGATTTAGTTGGAACTCCTGAGCCTATGATGAAAGAGATTTGGCTGGTTTAATCTTTGCATTTAATAATTCGTTTTTAAGATACTTTATTCTGTCATCAATGTTCTTTTCTATTTCAATAAAGCTCTTTTCTAATTCTTCAATTATGTCATTACTGTCTCTCTGTACTTTTTCAATCTTATTGTTGTAATCTCTCTTTACATCTCTAATAGTTTCATCAATCTTGTCTTCAGTTTCTTACCTCTTGGTCTTCTTTTAATTTCCTGTCATGTTGTTTTTGATCGTATTTAATTTTTGGGTGACCAGATTTCCAACTCGAAAAATCGGGACAGGCCAGCCCTTGCCCATAACTTCAAAATGATTATTACAAATTTGAAATAATTTAACTTTTACTTAATTTGTTTTAAATTTATTGAACTATTCCACAATATTTCCAAATATATAAAAATTGCCATTGATTTTGAAATAATTTCAAATACTATTTTTTGTTTGGTGATTGACATAAAACAAATGAGCAAAAATAGTCAAATTATACATCCAGGAAATCTTTAATTATTCACTTTATCCAAATCATCTTAAAATAGTTTACTTCATATCTAGATTTATTTAAGAATCCTTAACCTTTTTCAAACACACTGGCCTGGCATGGGCCAGGTGGATAAGGCGCTCGACTCGCAATCTGAGGGTCGCGGGTTCGAATCCCCGTCCCACCAAACATGCTCGCCCTTTCAGCCGTGGGGCGTTATAATGTGACGGTCAATCCCACTATTCGTTGGTAAAAGAGTAGCCCAAGAGTTGGCGGTGGGTGGTGATGACTAGCTGCCTTCCCTCTAGACTTACACTGCTAAATTAGGGACGGCTAGCGCACCTATGGCGGTGTTATAG